TGCTCCTGCCTACATTGTCCTACAGCTGCCATTGTAATTTGTATCTGTAAAGGTCCTGTGCCAAATGATTGCTATACCTTTTGGTACCTGTACAACTTGTAGTTTTTGAAATATTAATGTTGAAACTTTATTCCAAATTCATAAAATGAGAGTCAATGGGGCCTTGTAATGGTCCAATACTGCCCCCAACTGTACTTAACTTGATACTGCACCATAGTTTTTTATATTTAATCTCAATAGTTCAGTGTTTACAATACTAATATGATTATATTTTGATGTTTTACTATATCATTGTCTTAATACTGCTCTATTGTTGTAATACTATGCAGTTTAGTGTCAATAGTTGTATTGGCAATGTGGCCTCTTTCTGCACACATAGAAACCAACCCCTGCCACCACATCCTGCCACAGCTCCATTGGTCTAATGGTCTATGTCACGGGCTTTCATGTGGGAGATCGGGGTTCAAAACCCAGTTAATGCAACTTTAACAAAAAGCCTCTTCCAACTTCCTATTGTCACAAAATTACCTTAACTACAAAAACCTGCTCACGTGACAGGCACAAGCTGGTATTGAAAACACATTTGTACTTGGTCACATTTCATTCTGCAAGTCCAATGCTGCAGGCAAAGCATGCTGCAATGACATGCTACATGGCAATGCACACTTGTTTTTTACATCGTAAAAACCCATGTCTAGTTCTTTATTATTCCAGTTTCTTCCGCATGTTTTTTGGACCGCTTCTCCTTCCACAATTTTTATGTTGCTTAAACCATTCATGTAACAAAATGTTCAGCTCATTCAGGACATGTCAGCAATGATTTTTGGTATCTTAAAATTTTATAGTTTTTTTTGTTAATTTCAATTTTTACAGTTTTGGTTATGATGATATCATCAGTGACATCATCAGTCACATCAGTGACATCATCAATTTGTTCCTTAGCTGTTCTTCAGCTAAAGTTAAGAGGCATTCACACTGGCATTTTCGCAAATGCAAATTCTCTAATTACAGTTGAGATAATAACTCAAAAAATGTAATAATTAGTTGTGTGTATCGAATGCAACTTCAAATATATAGTTATTTAATGATAAAATCATGGAGCTTTTTAAAATAAGTTGTAGCAAAGCAGTTTGTGTGTTGAGTGGGTGTACAGTTTTGATTTGGGAAATCAAACTGACTCAGATTAATTTTTTGCATTATTTATTTAAAATATGTAAATTAGCTTCCCACTTATTACAAATAAAACAAAGCAACATGATTGTTATTACAAGACAAGTGCATTGATTAGGATGAACACAAACACTATTTATTACATAATGCATCACATTATTACTTCTTTCTTTTTACATTATTGTTTCTAAAAAAAGAGAGAAACCTTCACCTTTTGTAACAACCACCGCAAAATGTAATAATGTTATCACAAAATGCATCTTTTTTTAAATTCTATTCAGTGATGCCAGATGCACGATAATTATCGTATTTGTACGATAATTTTGCCCTCTGTACGATGTACGATCAATAATCCCAAAAATTCCCATAATGTACGATAATTTGACCGCTCCAATGTGTGACGTAATCGACCCAACACGCTGCTCGCTGATATGAGAGGTGGCGCGTTGTGGAACACAGCGGTGCTGATTTAGCGACTTCCTCGCTATATTTACAGA